CCATACAAGATTTCAAACGCGTACATAAAGAAGGCAACAGAGTGGCCCATGATTTCTTCTGGAGATAATGCAGCACTAGACAACCTTTCTACTTTCCTGTGTTCCTGCGTAAGTGCCATGGAGTCTATGGAGTACCTCTACATTCTCGATCATCCCCAGAACTTACAGAATCTTGTAAAGAAGTTACCACCCTATCTGCAAGACCGTTGGAGACGACACGTTGTAAAACTCAGAGGAACAAGGTTTACTCAAATTCCAGGGTTTAAGGACTTCAGTGATTTCATAACAACAGGAGCTAAGGTTACTACAGATCCTGTTTTCTCGAAGGAAGCATTGGCAAGGACAAACCCAAAGGAAAGCTTACGGCCAGCCAAGCCAAAAGCAACAAAGGGAACTTACAGAATCACTAGTCACGCTACCCACGTGGAATCACCTAAAATCAGCTAAGCTATCTCAAGGTGTGTGCTCAGTGATGAAGAACACGATCTGAACGACTGTAAATCTTTCAAGGAAAAAAGATTGGAACAACGGAAGAAATTCCTCACAGAAAAACAGTTGTGCTATGCCTGCTWCAGACCTGGACACAGATCGCGTGGTTGCTTGCAGAAACACCAATGCGAAGTATGCTCTAAACGACACCTAACAAGTCTACACGACTACAGTTTTCAAGGAGGTTCAAAAGACTCAACGAAGCAAGAAAGTACTGTGACAGTTGCAAGAATTGCCCACTTACACAAAGACACGCTATTCTCTGAAGAACCAGAAATTAAGTTCATGCCTATTGTGCCTGTTAAAGTACGCTACGGTGGCGAAGTGATAACGACATATGCAATGCTAGACTCCTGTAGCACTGGAACCTTCGTATCAGAGGATGCATCAAGACGCTTAAAGATTGACGGAGTACCGACCAAGATTCGAGTAAAGACAGTCATCGGATCYCAACTTCTTGATGCCAAAGTCGTCACAGGACTTGTCGTGTCAGACGTGCAAGACAAGAATAAAGTAACTTTGCCAAAGACATTTTCAAGAGATGAAATACCAGCAACAGARGGAGAAATACCACGGYCTGAATTGATAAGGCAATGGCCACACCTACGGTCAGTTGCAGATAAGATGCCACCATTCTTACCAGACGTACAAGTTGATCTGATCATTGGTGCAAATTGTCCAAAAGCTCTACAGCCCAGAGACTTTGCTGTTGGTAAAGACGGAGGRCCTTACGCTATGTTGACATTTGCAGGCTGGACTGTTGTTGGCCCTATTAAGTCAACCACCAGTACGTCTTCTATCTCAAGTCAAATCGTGAACCGAACCTTAACTACGAACGTTTGTAGCGACAAGACATCGAATTTGCATTACAAGATTGAAAGCTCTGTTAAAGAAGTTATAATGCCTCAAACACTGAACAAGTYCCTTGACGTTGAGTTCCGCGAAGCCATCTCGACGTGTGAGCACGAACCGCCAAGATCAATAGAAGACTCACGATTTCTCCAAAGGATGGAAAAGGAAATAAAACTCGTCAACGGTTACTATCAGATGCCTTTGCCATTTAAAGATGCCGATATGTCTATGCCAGATAACAAAGAACAGGTCATTCAGAGGATGAGATGGCTGCAAAGGAAGCTTTTTAATGACTGTAAACTTTATCACGATTACAAGACCTTCATGTACAACGTCATCGAGAAAGACTACGCAAGAAGAATTCCTACTAACCTGTTAGAGGCCAAACCGGGAAAGACATGGTACATCCCTCATCACGGAGTTTATCATCCGCGCAAACCTAATAAGATTCGTGTTGTCTTTAACTGTAGTGCCAACTTCCATAGAATATATCTAAATGAAAAGCTAATGCAAGGTCCAGATTTGACAAACTCACTGGTTGGAGTGCTCACAAGATTCAGAAGCAAACCTGTTGCTTTCATGTGAGACCTTGACGCTATGTTTCATCAAGTACGAGTCAAAGAAGAAGACCAGGACTTCTTACGTTTTTTCTGGTGGCCTGAAGGAGACTTGTCCCGCGAGATAGYAGAATACCAAATGAACGTACACTTGTTTGGAGTCGTATCCTCTCCGAGCTGTGCAAACTTTGCTGTCAAGAAAATTGCTGAGGACTTTGAAGAACAGATTGGTACGGAAACGGCTAACACGCTGCGAAAGAACTTTTACGTGGACGACTGCTTGCGTTCAGAGGAAACGGAAGAAGATGCCATACAGAGAGTACACGGGGTAATCACCGCCTGCGCAAAAGGAGGTTTCTCTTTGAGCAAAATAACAAGTAACAGRAAATCAGTGCTGGAAACGATTCCCAAAGAAAAACGCTCGGAAGCCTCAAAGGAGATCGATCTTGGTGATGACATTCCGATGGAGCGAGCCCTCGGTGTTCATTGGTGTGTTGGATCTGATGAACTTGGTTTCCGGATTACTCTAAAGGATAAACCGCTCAACAGACGAGGAATCTTGGCCACTATAAGTTCAGTTTATGATCCACTGGGATTAGCCGCACCTGTAATATTGCAAGGAAAAAGAATTCTCCAAGAATTATGCATTAGCAACACCACCTGGGACGACCCAATTCCTGAAGAATCTAAGATGAGATATGAGAACACGTCGGGCTGGAGACCCCTCGATTTGTCTCATTTTGGACTGCAAAGGATAATGGGTACGTTTGTATACCGCTGACATTGAGCAGGCTCAAACAAAGCAATATGGCGTTCAATGTTTTGAAACAAAGGGTTCGATCAAGCGTCCTAAACTGGAAGCTTTCCGTAAAGACACATGGGAAAAACGAAGAAGTATTTGTCAGTGATGTTTTTAGAGAATTGGAAATCCTTATGGAGACAGTGTTCATGAAACATGATGGTTCTGTACCGCGAAATCGAAAAGAGGTTCATCACATTGTGGATATTTCACCGATGACTGCTCGAATTCTAGCAAAAGTTTACAAGTCAGGGATTTTGGAATTATGCGTTGATGCGGACCCGCATAATCGGCCATTCTCCGCATAATCCCGCATAATTTGTCAAAAAATCAATATATATGTTATCTATCTTGCGTCTGGCCTGAGTATTGTTTTTTTTTCCCTTTTTCTATCGTCATACAAAGTACTAAAGTATCATATAACAAAACAACGCCATACGAAGTCGTGCGTGCGCGCGACGCCATTTTGTTTTTATGACATTCATTTAATGATGAGTTTCCTGTGGCTCGGCCCAGGTTCCAGCAATTAGCGCTCTCCAAGATGGCGGACGTTGGCGACGTATTGCTTTCTTTTTTAGCTAATTGCTTTTATTGGAAAGAGTCATTTATCAATAATGCGTAATATTTTTTAAACTGAAACAAAACAACTGAGTATTTAAACGAAATTAGTTATATTTTAGGTTTTAAGGATGACGTTTTTCGTGCATAATTTTGTGCATAATTCCGCTAATCATTCATGAAAATCCCGCATAATTTTTATTTTTTTTGCGCATAATTCCAGAATCCCTGCATATACCTATGTTTAAATGGAAAAGATCATGTATCTATAATGCTTAATATTCCATTCTTTTATAAAACGAAACAAAATAACTGAGTTTCCTAATCCGAATTAGTCATATTTTAGGTTTTAAGCGATGACGTCATCGCGCATAATTTCGCGCATAATCCCGCATAATTTTGATTTTTTTCGCGCATAATTCCAGAATCCCTGACAAGTCTATTACTCGAAGACTAAGGTGTACTCCAACTTCATCATCGCTTTATTTCTGTCAATTTACACAGGAGGTACCCCAGGAGGTATTCAATAATATATTGAAGGGTATAGTTGAGCAAAATTCGTTTGGACATAAAGTTACCTCCACTAAAGCAGTGACTACAATTACAATAATCAACAAACGAAAGGCTGTCTATCTGATGAGTCGAATGGACGAAATTTGTGATGTAGACAAAAGCAATCTTTTTCAAAAAGAATTTGAGGATAAAGGGAAGGCTGAAGTGTTATTTACTGATGAAAAGCCTTTCACATTGAAATACAGTCACAACAGCGAGGTTTTAACAGTCTCCTTCAATTACGGGAACTGGAACTCACATGGCATCCCTCAACACTAGTCTGAAACATTTTTATTAAGCTTAACTCTTTTAAAACGCTTTATAAAACTTATTAATAATGCATAAACTATTGCTCCAATAAGGGCTGACCATTTAATCAGGTGA